TGCCATAGGTTCGCCACCACTGCTATATACTGTGATTTGTAAGTGTAGCTTACTAATGGAGGGAAAGACATACCTTCATCACACATATATACACTGCATATTTTGGTATTTGCAAGAATGGCAAATTTATTCTTCACTTAAGTTAATGCTGGTTAGCAGATGAGAGTTTGAATGCTATACTTAGGCTCATGTCTCCGAATCCAGCATGCTGATTTCTTATCATGTGTCATAATTTAACCTGCATTTAACTTTCATTTTTAATTAAATTACTTTATTAACGTATTCAGAGGAAAAGTACACACCTCAGGTAAAATATATGGAGACCAGAATAAAAGGCTTTTCTATCTTTCTTATTCCAATATTTATCTCAGAACATTTATAGTATTGGACAGATAAACAATGTTAGTGTTCTAGCATGGGTGTCTGAAATACTGTGCAGTGCTATGCATGTTCTTTATTCCTTCAGACAAATACACTCATTCAAAGACTTAAGAATCAGTGTGCTTAAATGCAGTTCTTACTCTCACCTGAAACACAAGTTGATGTGGAAGGATTCTTATTTATAACTGCATAAACAGCTTCTGGTCTGAAAAAGAAATAATTAAGTTAAAGTTATTTTTCCACACTCAATGATTCAAACTTAGAGATGCTTGGAAATAAGGGAAATCAAGTCATGCTGAATACGATGAGATGCTGCCTCATCTCCTTCTCATATATCCCTCCCCATCCTACCCTTGGGTTGGATTCAAAGTGAAACTTCTGTTTCACAGTAGCTGTACTTCAGTATGCTATGGTTAATATTAATTCTGATTTGTTAAAATAAGCCATCATTGGAATCCATGGTTTAAAGTTGGGTGATTTCCTACAAACCTATCAGCAGAAGGCACTAATAAGAACACAAATGTGTTCTTATTCTATGAGAATTCTACGTTCTGTGTGAAAATGGTATTTATTAAGATAAAACCACTGCATCTGGTAAAAGTGTCAGAATCCAGTTATATTTCATTTCTATCTATCTCCTCTGATTTAAAATCAAATCTCACCTTTCCCTGGATTCTGCCAAACTTCCAAGGGGGAGGGGGGATATGCATGCAGGTTTATTGCTTTCACTTCCTCTATTCGCTACAATGTAACATTTTGTTTATTGACTCCGTGTCTGCTATCCATTACAATGTAACAAATTGCCTCCTGCACTATGCATCTCTCTGAACCTTCTTCTCCCTAACCGGGCAGCTAGGAAAAATGGGGAGGGAAGAAGTACAAACCTCCGGGACCTGGCTTATTTCTCCGTTCTCAAAAGGAGGTGTGAAGAGCTGTGGAACATCGCACTACAAATGGAGCCGGATTGATGTTATCTCCCCTTTCCCACGATGGACTTAACACCTGGGGATTGGCCAATCTGAATCGTCTGGATGAACTGTGGGGTGGGGTTTGCTTAGGGACACTTTAAAGTAATCGATCTGTAAAGAAATCCCTCAGATCCTATCTATTATGCCTGCTATCAACTACTCTTAATAAAAGTTCCTGTTGGAAGAAATTGTTTCCAAGAGTTCTGCTTCCTTAAGATGTGGGATGGAAGTGGGTCCTTACAAAAAGGTTTCTTTCAAATATATTTCTCAATTTCAAACTTCATTTTAAAAATTCTGAATGTATCCAAAAATTTGGGAATGTAACGTATGAACAGTTAAAAAGAGAATACAAATTATCTGTGCAACTGTTCTTAATTCTAAAATTAATATTCAGAGCCAGCAATGTTTAAAGACAGACGTGCTGAAAAGTCATCTGTCCATATGAATCCCTCCAAATCTCCACCAAAGTCTTCTATTCATCTTTTACAAATCACATGTATTTTGCCAATAGTTTCAGTTCAAATATTCTGACAGCCTCACTTACTCCTCTCTTTGGCATTCATTTCCAGGCAAAATCTTCACGTAGGATTTGGGAAACCATCCTCTTCTTCTACCAGCTTCTCCATACCACCAATTTTCTTGCTGCTCCAGCACAGTAATTATGTCATTTTTTGAAAAGTTTAAGTGATTATCTTTTTTTGCAGTCCAAGAGCAAAGTGCTTGTGCTTTTATGTTTTCTACAGCTTGTCCCTGTCAAAGGTAGTATATTAATGCCAGCCATGCAAGTTTTAAAGACACAAAATATAAACTAAAAATATTTTCACTCCAAAAGCATACAAATGATAATTATTTTTTTTAAAAAAAATATTGTCTTGCCTACAAATCCCAACTGAATTATGGAAAATTTTCCATAAAATAGAATCAAAGCAGGACAAGATCTGGTAAACTACCTTGAACGTTTGTGTGGTAGACAGGGTAACCTTTCATAAACAAATAATTAGCCACTTATGCAGATTACCACTATGTATTTCTCATATATGATGTAATATTGTATTATATGAAGGAGAATACAGAATACTTTTCATTTGTAAATAGTTCATTCCCAAAGAGTCTGGCATCATAAAATAAAATGAGCTCCCCAAAGAAAAGCCAATCCCAAATATACATGTAATAATAACATAAAAATATAAAATACCAAAAGTACAAAACATATGTGCTTTGGTGTCCTTGGCATATTAATGCTCCCAGCCCTGTGCCAATAGTTCCATTCTGAACCAGGAACATACCTGTCCATGGATGGGAGAAACAGATCCTGGGGAAACAGTGCGAGTAAAGGCAGACTTTTTCTGCCATGAGCTAGGATTTAAATTTGCAAAAGATACATTTTGGTACTCTGCTTCGTCTGCTGGTTTACTGGGTGAATGTACTCTGCAAAATCAAAACATATACATAACGGAATTACTTTCAATAAAACCCAACCATCATAGCAAAGTAGCCAAAAAACTTTCATGGTCTCCCAGAAAGGACATCTTAGGGATTCTTTATAATTCATAGCTTCTGCAGCTGCTAAGGAATCCTTACTGTGCAGAAAGAGAGAAATTCTTGAAAGCAATTTGGGAACCTTTTGCATGCAGATGGATCCTCCAGTTACGGCTGTTATTTTTAATACACGAAGCACACAATACCAAAACACAGCACAAATAGTTTTACATTTTTAAACTGGAAACAGACATCAGCTTGTCTCACATTATGTCAAATTAAAAATTTGTGATGTTGGTGCATTCACTGTGAATTTGTTTTATTGAAATATTGTATTAATGGCTATTCTTTAATCTCAGCTGCTGATTGCCTATTTATTTATTTGTGTGTGTGTGTGTGTGTGTGTTAGTGGTGGGTTGTTATTCTTAGCCAGCCAGTCACTAAATTGAATATATAAATTTATATTTACTCTAGAGGAACTGAAGTAGCTGGTACAGAGACTGTCGGAGGAAGTAAGGCTTTCTTGGGAAGTGAAACGGCTTTCTCCTTTTCAGGTTTTTTCTCTACATAATTGCATGGAAACCAGCCAAAATGTCCTTGAAAACTTCCATATAACCAGCCAGGTTCTCCTTCAGTTTTCTCAGCAACCTGGAAAGGAAAATAAAAAATAATCAAATATAATGTTAATTTTCTTTACTTGTTTACAAATATGTTTTAATTCTACTACATGTTAGCTGGTGCATTTTTAAAGAAAAAACCCCCACAAAATTATTTGGGATTAAGGAAACTATTTAGTATTCAGAAATGATAATTTACCTCAATAATATCTCCGGAATGGAAGCTTATCTCATCTTGATTCCTGGCTTCAAATGGATATAAAGCTCTATAATTCACAAAGCCTACTGATGTCTTTGAATCAGCAGCACTAACTGCATGGCCTGAAGAGTCAAGGAGAAACTAATTATTGATTGATAGTTCCTGACAAATGCTTTAAAGGTCTATTTCTAGGAAGGTCAGGATTTCTGCAAGCACACTTATTCTCTTGTTTAAGTCTTGGGAAGAGCCAAATACACAGGAATCATTACTACTGAAAAGTTGCCATCCCTTTAAGCTCCTATTTCCTCACCAATCAGGAACAGCAAAAGACAATGTAGACAGCTACCAGAGGTCATGGTAGATCCCATCTAAATGTCCTGTGCATAACAAACGCCTTTTCATTAATGCACAGGAACCTTCTTCTGTGACTACTACCACTGTTCCATAAAAGTCCCCTGTCCTCAGTAGAAGGTTTCCAAAGCAAAGCAAAGAGAAGGGGAAACCAGCAAAAACCAGCATCTGCTATCTGACTGGAGCATTCATGGGAGGGACTCTTCTGCCCACTCTCAAGAGTAGAAGCCATCTCAGATTCCTAAATGTTCTTTCAAACTACTGAATAATCCAAACCAAACCACTCAAATCTTAAAAAGAATAGTTACCTTCATTTTTCAGGACAGACTTAAGATTTCCCTTTGTTTGTTTAAGAACATTTACGTTTTTCTCATTTAAGTGGGAAACAGATTTCTCAGAATCTTGCAAATTAAAAATATCTTTTCTTTTCTTCCCTTCTTCAAATCGTTTAAGCTTTTCCTCAGCTTCTTTTGCAATCTTCTCCTGTCTTTTTTTTTCTTCTGCCTTTTGTTTCTGCCTTTGCTGTTCAGTCTCTCTTAGAATTCCTGTTTGTTTATTTTGTCTTTCCTCTTCAAATTTCTCCTCTATCAGTTTTTGTTTCTGGATCTCCCTCTCTCGTGCAATGGCCTCCTCGGCTCTTTGTTTTTCCTCATGGATCTTTTCCTGCATTCGATCTTCTTTCAGACGCTTTTTTCTTTCTTCTTCTTCCTTCCTGATGGTTTCTTGCCACAAGTTCTCCTTTTCCTGTTTTGCTTTTCTTTTGAAAGATAGAAAACAAGCATAATTATTCTGATATTAGTATTGAAAAGGAAGACTGAGTAGCAAACACTTAGTATGATCCTTATACCAGCTTCCTATTGATTCCCTTCTGAAGGTTTTAGGTTCACCTGTATGATGCAAAGTCTTGGTTATAGCACAATATTAATGTTTACTATTTGCTGAAATGCATGTATTTTGATGCAGAATGTTAGGAATAAATTTAAGCCTGATTTTAATTTTGTCACAGCAATGTAATCAGTAAAGAGTGGTAAATACCAGCATTCATAAGGACTCTCAAAATGCAGTTTCTGCATTTATTGCTGCCTATTAATCGGAAACAGAGAATAAAATGAAGGGGCTAGAGGAAAAAATGAGGAACACTTTAAACACATTACCGTGTAGCCTCATCTTCTATACTTTTTTTCAAAACAAACTCAGTTCTTTTTCTTTCCAGTTCTTGAATTTTTTCGTGTTTGATTTTGTGGAGCTGTTCAAGCGCTTTCTGCTGTGTGCAGTAAGTTTCTCTTAGTTCCTATTAAGAAAGGACAAAATTAAGTGAGCAAAAAAGCAAGCAGATTTTAGAGAAGTGATTCCATTTAATATTCTGAATCCAAATGTTCCTGCAAGTTTCCCAACAATCATATAGAGCAAGACAAAAGTATTTGTATTTGTTTATTTTTTGCTTTTGAGGCCCTCCATAGCATTTAACTGCCCTTTATAAAAACATTTAAAAGTCATTCTTTATGGTTTTGCAAATGTGCAGAAAAACTTCTGCAATGAACATTGTTTTCTAATCGCTTATTATGTCCATACCTTACTTTACAAGTTAGAACTAATTTTCTGTAATGACGATGGCAAAAAGTTACATTTCTTCACCATGGCTACAGCCTTCTAGTGATGGAATTACTGGAAGGAATCATAAAAACTTTGATGTGAAATACCAATGTGTAGAAGGCTCCTCAAAGATTCAAAAGACTTTTTGGTATCTTACATCTTGTCTGAATAACGAGAGACTCTTTGTAAACAATCTTATTTAATTCGGTGTTAGAAAGCCGCATGCCAATCACTTGAGTTGGGTGGAATGTTTCTGCTAGTTCTGGCTAAGTCACTTTCCTGCAATCCCTTTATACTGACATAACAATGCCATTGTTAAATTAAGTACAGAACATTACATTGTTCTAGTACACGATCAGTTGTGTGATTATGAAGTTAATTGTATTATACTATTAGACATTGTCAGCAAATGTCAAACCAGCTGTTAAATGATCAAGATGAATTACAGAATCTGAGTTACTCTAGTATAGTGGCTAAGATGCTGGACTAGAAACTAAGACATTGGGAGTTCCAGTCCTTCCTTAAACACAGAAACTGGCTGAATGATTTTGAGCCAGTATCTGTCTCTCAGCCCAATCCACCTGAATGGGTTGTTGTGGGGGGAAAAAGGAAGAAGACACATTATGAATGTCACTTTGAATTGTACAAAATAAAAACAATCTTCTATTTATCCCTTGCTCTTACGTTGATTTAATTGCTTAATACTTTCAAATGGGAAGCTTTAGGTCCAAATCAAGTTAAGGTTAAGGTTAAGTCTTCAAAAATTGTGCTTGCACATACACATAAGAATATTCCCTACCTATCCAGCATATACCTACCTGCTTTTCTCCATTAAACATGTAGGAGAAGATAGATTGCTTCCCACCTTCCAAAAGTGCTTTGCTGCAGAAATAGCGGAACCTGTAAGATCCCCCTTTTTTCAAAAAGGTCTCCTTTTATATTACCAATGGCACAAGGAAAAAGGACCTGGGTGGCTTAATATAGCCTGGCAAAATGTCCATCCCATTCTAAATAAGTACACCTCAGGCAGGAAGGACACCCTTTCCTTAATGTTATAGGCCAGCACAATCCTATCTTGTTCTTGTTATATGGAGTTATCACCCCGAGTCTTCTGGATGTGCTTCCATACTAAACAGGCAGATAGAATGTTCTTTCACACGCCCAAAGACAGGTGATGCTTCTTAATGATCTTGCACCCAGACGAGGTAACATCATCAATGTTAGCGAAGCGTTGAAGCATTAGCACTGATGATGTTACCTAAAGAGAATACCCAAAACCTGCACTTTTTGAAACCAGCTACAAAACTTTAAAACAAATTGGAATTAAAATGACAGGAAACAAATCCTGTGACGAATGCAAATGCCAACTCTGTTCACACATCATATTGACAATATGAGGAATTCATATTATTGTTCATTTTCTTATATAATCTATTTATCAGAAATACTACTCTACATTCAAAAAACAATAAGTTGATCAGTTACTCTGTGAATAGATATAAAGTATGAATATTGGTACTTCTCAGGATACTCTGTGACTGTTTTCAAAGTGATCATTTGTGAACAAAAAGATTACACAAAGATCAGTTTCCTAATGAAAAATGTAAGCCAGAATTCACAAGGATGTTCAACTGTGTAATCTATGATTTTAAGCAGATACTAAAGTTTTTATAAAAAACATTTATAAACACGGAAAGGTCGCACAGCTAATACAATTATCAACCTCACTGTCTGTATGTCCTTCATTTCAATTCTCCTTGACTTCTCTGTTTTATAATTCCCTTTGGTCTTTTTCAGAATGATAGTCAGTGCATGTGTCAAAACAATGATTTATAAAATCTCATACTATGCTATTGTTTTGCTACAAAAGTCCAATATTGTTATATTTCCATATCAACAGCTCTGGAAATGCTTTCCTCTCTTTGATCTAAGGGGAAACTGGAAAAAGGCAATATGGCAACCTGTATGTAAATCAGAGCAATTGTCACATTGTGATAGTGGAAAAGCCAAACAAAGATGATCCTATATATAGCATGTTCAGCAGCAGTTGTTGTGGTGGGTAGAATTTGGATCCAAAGAGGTAATCAAATGGGTTTCTGAAAATAGTCTAACGATGTAATCCATAAGGGAACAAAGATCTTAAAATTTTTATTGTGCAAAATATAAAGTTTGCCTTAGTGATAGTCTACTTGGCAATTGGTTTGTTATGAAAAGCCAAGTACATGGGAGAACAAGTCAACATATAATGGGCTTTGTAATTTAACAAGGTTTTTCTTCAAGGAACATATATTCGTGAGATTTTATGATCTGAATCCAACTTTCTCTGATTTTATAACTATCTAAAAAGAAAGTAGCAGGCCACTTTCTTCAAGTGTAACTCAGAAATCTAGCTAGTTTATTATTCTTTTCTGTCAATGTTCTTTAGGCAAAATCAAGCATATATATATATTTTGTTGGTCTAGGGAGAAGCAGAAATTGTTTTTCACAAAATGGTATTTTTTTTACTTATTCTGGGAAATCTGGTCTGGACTTTTCCTTTGTTATGCATATAATAGAAAACTATTTTCAATGGTCAAAACAGATAAAATAATAACAATCCTGATTACAGATAGGACTTTGTTTCAGATAAACTGGTAATGAGTAGTAATCCATCTACCACACACTATGTGAGTTTTAAGGATTTTGCTTAAAAGCAGTGACATGAGGATTATTCCTACCTTTTCCCATAATCGAAAGTATTTGGTTAGTGGACAGAGTTTAAAAGCAAGCAAAAGGCAAATAAAATCTCTTCCTGCAATAGAGCACCAAATTATTGCATAGGAAAATATTTTGATTTAAGTGCTATAGAAATGCAAATTTATTTTTTGTCTCACACACACACACGCACGCACACCAATACAAAAACATGGAAATTATTAGAAGCAAAAAAAGGCCAAAGATTAGAAAATAACCTTAAGTAAGAGGAAGAGGTTGTTGAGACAGCTTAGCAGATATAAAAGGCACTGAAGAATAGAAGCATCCATAGTCTCACACTGTAAGATAAGGCAGATAAAAAGCGGTTAAACTTTTCTCTAAGACTGTTGTGAAGGTGGAGAACTTAAGGAATCAGAATAATTAATGTAGCAATCAAAGTTCTGATTCAACTCTCATATTTACCTATATATTATGTGAGTGTGGGTGTAAATGAGGGAGATAGACAGAGTCTTCTATAGCCAAAATTAGTAATATTAATGGTTCATAAATAGGATCAACAATAAACTCTTGTCCTCTGCAATGTTCCTATCCAGCCATCGTTTCTTCTGCTGCATATGCCACTCTATTTCTGTTCTCATTTCCCACAGTAGAATGCATGCCATAGAATGCATAAACATAACTGGGCTGGGTTTGGGGAATGGGCAGTCCTTCAACTGTTGATCCCTTTAAGCCTGCTGATGCCTCCTGCTTGAGATGAAGTGGTGCTATTTTGTAATGTAAGGATTGGTACTTGGGTAGGTATCCTTCTACAGCAGAGGTCTTCAAACCTGGCCCTTTTATGACTTATGGATTTCAACTCCCAGAATTCCTCAGCCAGGCACACTAGCTGAGGAATTCTGGCAGTCATAAAAGGGCCAAGTTTGAAGACCCCTGTTATACAGTATCTGCACATAAGCTCTACAGTGAAAACAGGCACTGCAATGGATTTGGCCTCATGGGAGCAGTCTATCAAAAAAAAAAAAAAAAAGCAGGATAGTCTTTTATATTTGCTGCTCTGCCTCTTGATATAGACAGGACAGACAGGTCAGGAACTATGGTCCAATTCTCTTGACTACAACATTTCATGAAAGAGATCAAACAGCTGCTCCTTTACAATCTCCTTTCACTTGCCCAGTTCTACAGCATATGTGATTGACAGGTAGACCTTCCTTAAGGACTGCCATGTCTAGTAATCATTCAAAGTTACAACGGTGCTGACAAAGTAGTTTTACAATCAATCTTTCCACCATCGTAGCATCCTCACAGTCATGTGATTGCCATTTCAGCACTTTTACACCAGGCAAGTATTTATGACTGCTGCAGCATCCCAAAGTTATGGGACCACAATTCCAAAAAGCAGTCAGTGGAAAGCAGTAAAATCACAAGTCGCAGTCATGTGATGTCTCATTTAACAACTGTGGCAGGAGTGAGGTTGTTAGTCTGTTGCAGTCACATGATTACTTGTTTAATGATCGGGTTGCTTAGTGATAGCACTGTTGGTTCTAATTGTAGTCATTAAGCAAGGACTACTTGTAGTTGGCTAGGCTAAGCCTCCAACGTTAATCAGAAAGTTCAGTTATGTAACTGAGAAGAGGAAGTTGCTTCTTCCATATCACCTGCCTATGCAGGAAGGAAGAAAATAAGGAAGGAAAAAATGGAAAGTGATGGCAGCACTGACTTTTCCCTTTGTTATATTTACAGTCATACTGTCTATCAGTTATGTGAAAGGTTTCAGACAAACATTGTTAAGTAGGAAATTCATAATCACCACACTCCCAAGATTAATTATCTTAAATACAAAAATTATAGCTTTGCCAGCCCTCCATATTCCAATTAATATGCATGTATATGTATTTAAAATGTTTTATAATTTAAATACAAATACGTTGTAATGTAGCAGGGAAGACTGTCACTAAATGACTTATACATCTCTTTTGCTGTCCAGGAGTTGACAGTTGAAGGACAATTTCAAGTCCTCCATTCATAATCTTTGGCTCTGAAAGAGATTTGAATCATAAAAGCCCTTCAGATAAGACGCTCTCTGTCATGGTGCAATCATGCAATTTTGGGAAGAGATGATAGAAAACAGGAAGGAAAAGAAGACATTACTACTAAGTAAGCCAGGTAAGGAAGATTTCAGGTGTAGCTTAAGTCCTTGCTTGTCCATTTTGAAAACACACTTCAGGAAAGAAGTTGACTGGAGAACCTAACTGCCAATACAAAGAACATGTAATAGATTCTTTGTAAGCTTAGTAACTGCAGTTTGTTCACATTTTTGGTTTTCTCATCCTTTTCAAGCTTTTTGTTTTCTCCATATTTTCCCCTTATCTGCATATTCCCAATTCTCACTGTTGTGACATACATTCTGTAGATGAATGGAAGGAGAATAGATGATGTAATATGAACTTCACTTGCACCAAGAAACTGCTTTGGTGTGTCTTAAATAATGAACATGCTGAGTGAAATAGATGGCTTTCCTTTTGTTTTTATTACATTATATATTTTTTATTAATTAAGGAAAATTGTATCTGCAAATTTTATTGTCATCCATTTCCCTATGCCAAGGTTCACTTTCAATATTTTAGTTGATGTTACTTCAAATAATATTAATTTACCTTACAATATGCAAAATAATACCCATATAAATCTTGGTGTAAATGGGCCAAACTGCAAAATGCTGGTACTGATTCTTTTTAAAATCAAATTAGAGATTAATAGGGCAGCATTTGAGTATCATGAACAAAATGGTAGGCATTTTTATGAGATCTCATGAACAGAAGATAACACACAAGGCTTGATTAGTTGAAGAAAGAAAGTTTCACCAAATGAACAATCCTAGATGCTTAAATAAAAGGCTACAACAAAATTGTACCTTGAGCTGCTTATTAAAAATATCAATTTCTGACAGCTTGGAAGTGGTTTCTTTTTCTAGTGTATCTAGTTGTTCCTGAAGTTTTTGGCATAATTCTTCTTTTTCTGATGATTTCTTCTGCACTGAATTTAGATGTGAATCTGCAAATGAAAGACCACGTATTTAATATTTACTTACAAATTTTCAATTTTTTGTCACATATCTATACATCATATTTACTTAATTTACTAATACTTTAGTCTTTGACAAACTAGAGGGGAGAGCTCCTTAAACAGTCAGAGTGCTATGCAGAGTGGGTGATATCATTCACAGCACAAAAAGGAATGGGAAGATTTTCTATGTGTCTGAGAAGGGGACCTCAGAACTCCTTTTCACACACCTCATTTGAGGGAGCAAAAAACACTTGAATGAATGTATTCTTACAAATATGTACACATAAGACTGATGATACTTACCAAAAGAGTTGCTCATCTTGTTGTGATTTATTTTCTCACTCAGCTGTTGTTTCTCAGGAACAAGAGCAATCAGCTTATTCTGATATTCCTGTAGAGTTGAGGATAGTATATTTTACAAAAGTAGTACCAGCATATGTGTTTGACATAATCTGATAATACAAATGAAAGCATAGACGTAAGAAACAACACTCCTGCACCAATTTAGTGGCTTCCAAAGTACCCTCCAAGTGACTATGACCCATTTTTTCAATGTTTCTTGAGAAATTAATAGGGTAAAATGGGTTCTTTAAGTATGAGAGACTCAGATATCAATTTTGCACCTTAAAATGCCCAATCTGAGAAATGACCAGTTCCTAAATGTAAATTCTTAAAGCCCTCATATACCTGCTATGTTGTGCTAGTTGTGATGACTCAGGGCACAGCACAGAGGCAATGCAGTCAGCTGGCAATTCAAGCAGTTCTTTTATTGCTCCCAATTTTCCCTAAATGCTCCCACATTTGCTGGCAAGCTTCCAACAAAAGATCACACACACATCCCTTCAGCCAACTCTGGTTGAAAGTAGATTCAACTACAGGCTGATTAGCATAAGAAAGTACTCAAGGCCATAGAGATAACAAGGAAGAAAACATAAGTTTAACAAGTCCATTTGAATGCAAGCTTGCCTGAGCAGTTTCCAAAAGAGTGAATCCGAGATACAGCCCGATAGTCAAGGTTTCCAGGTTGCCAAACAGAAGGCACAGAACAAGAGCAACAATACACATCACTCCAATGAATCAGTGTTTGTTCCTGACAAATGCCCCATCCCACAGCATCTCCTTAAATCTCAATCCCCAGGTGTGCCTTGTGGAGTGGGACGGGACGCTCTCCTCCTGAGTAATTGAGCCTGCCTGCATTGTTCCCTCCTTCTCTCCACTCTCCGTGCTCTAGGATCAGGTGGGGGTGGGCCTTGCTCATCGCCTGAACTCTGTCTCCCCTGTTCCAATCCTGAAGGGCCCTGGCCTGCCTCAGCCTGCTCTTCTCCACAGTCCTCTGAAGCCACAGACACCTCTCCCTCGGCCTCCATAGGGTCCTGTTCCAACTCCATTTCCTCCTCAGATTCAGGCTCAGATGGAGGCATGACACTAGTTATGCCCTGAAGCCAAAACATTTCCAAAAATATATGTCCTTTGGATGAAACAAAATAAAACCTATCTCTGATGTAGGCTGATATATTCCGTTATGGAGAATATATCTCCAATAATAAAAAAGTGGGAAAAGAATAATAATGCAGCTCAAGGAATATATGGAATGTATCATTTATAAAATTTTGCATCATGAATAGATAAATGCAATTACTATCATTTCATGATATCCTATCAAACAATGTCTTTGCTTTAGAATGTTGGTCAAATAAAGGACATTATGTCTTCCACTACCCCATTTACAATGAAATCAGGACCAAATTATTGATGGTAAGTGAATTCAAGGGCTCAGATCTTGAAAACTCTTCTTGCAGATTGGTTCTCAACTATTAACAACCGAGTTGCTACTTTTGTTCTGTTGTCATTTAAACTTAGAAATACTTAATTTCTCAGTTATAGCTCTGGCTTTATCTTGCTGTAACTTTTTACATCTAATACTCTTTATTTTTTTATTTTACAATCTTATATTTTACAGCACTGCTGTTTTATTGGTTTTTTTATGGCATGCTACATGTAACAATCTATAGCTACAGGAATAAATTTACTTACTAACTTTTCATGAGTTAAGCATGTATAAACAGAAATTTTGGAAGATTGGGGTATTTCACAATTTTTCAACCATTTTTTTTAAACATTTTCTTTCAATGCTGCAGAAGACCAAACAAAGCAAGCAATCCTGTTTTAGAAAACTATATGCCAAAATAAGCACCAATGCCCTGCCACATGCCAATACAAATATACATACACAAATAATGAGCTTTAGGGCATATATTCCATAATTTAAACTAATTTTGACATCTTTTAAAATGTCCTGTTCAGTGTCAAGCCCCATTCATCTGGGCAAGATCAAGGAAGCAGGAACTACATAAATTTCAGTAAGTTATCTTTAATGTTAGTCGGAGTAAATACTGAATCTTAAAAGCTTCCAACCCTCAATTACAGTGAGTTCATTAAAGGAAAGTTTTGTTGAATAATTTGAAAAGCTTCTCTCCAGGTTTCTTGCCTCTAGGATTGAGTTCCAGTTTATGAAATAAACTTCCATATAGCTTGCCTTCTGCTCTTGATTGTTTATATCTACCCTTGCTCCAATTTCTTTCCCAGTTTCATCACAATCTCTCACATTTGTCAACAAAATAAAATGTTCACTTAGTTGTAATTAGGAATAAAGACACAAGGAATAAGAAGGAATGCTTCATGTGTGTTGGTTGGGATCATGTATTATGGATACTATTGTATGAAGATAATGTCATTTTGCCATCTGAGAATCTCAATGATTCTTAACAAATATGACATAGATTACATGACACAATAGTTCTCAAGACTAGGGGGTTATATTTGACAGAGAAATCACATGAACACAAGTTGTACATGAATGGTGACAATTTAGATCAAAAGAATGAACTTGTGTATCTTGGTAGAATGTTAATTAAAAATGGGAAAATGGATGAAGAAAATGATTTCTTCTTTAATTTCATTTGAGTACCATTTCTTACTCCTTTTTTTTGCAGTTTGCTTAATATTCCTTACCTCAAGAGTGTGGCGGCTCACAAGGTTAGAATGCTGGGCTGACAATTGGCAGCCTCCTGTTCAAGATCCATTGCTGTTGAGGGGCGGGGCGAGTTCCCATCACACACTCCAGCTCCTGCCAACTCAGCAGTTCAAAAGCAGGCAATTGCAAGTAGATAAATGGGTACCACTTCAGTGGGCAACTCATGGGAACATGAAAGGAGCCCCCAACTGGGAATCCCACAGGCTATGGTGATGTCACTGGCAAATTGTTTCACCATGAAAGCACTTCAGTGCTTCTGACATGGAAGTGTTAACATTACCCCAAAAGAGAGCAGTATTATAGATAAGTGTGGGTACACCCACACACTTGTTTGTGCATACCTCGTTTGCTACAACAGCTCCCCACCCTTCACCATAGGAATTTTACATTTTATCTCTCTCTCCAGCCCCAACTAAAATCATTTTTTTTTGTGCTTTCTGTTGACTGCCTGCACTAGTCCCTGCAGTTTTCTTCATGTGGTTTTACAGAATGGTTTGCCATTGCCTCCTTCCTAGGGTTGAAAGAAAGTGACTGGCCCAAGATCACCACTGGTTTTGCACCTAAGGCTGGACTAAAACTGTTTCCTAGTGAGTGCCTGGTGCTATACTACATCAAAATGGCTCAAAAACATATAGCATATTTTTTTTAAATGTAATGGTTGTGTTACATTCTTGCTTTCCTTATTTGCTTTGTATGATTTATGCAGTTATGATCTGCAACTGACATGAAAGGACAAGGAATAAATCTCTTGAAAATCTAACAAACTGTCATAAATTCTGCTTCTTTGTTTAGAAATCTGGATAAACACTCCTGGCTTAGGGAGGATCCTTAGGAGCCTCTGGTACCTTCTGGACTCAGGGCTGATTAGCAGTGATTCATATTGTTCCTGCTCCATAAAACACCTGTCTGTGTGTGCTTAAAGTAGCAGTCAGAGATCAGGAATCATAAGAACCTAAATTGTCAGGCTTCTTGAACATTTTGTATTAGTACTGAGAGTAGGAATGGGGAACCTGCTGCCCAGAACCTAATAAGGTCTCAATTCTGATATTGGACTACAGTAATCTGCTCCTTCCAGAGAAACAAACTGTGCATATGAAAATGAAAAACCAAAGAGAGAACGAATGGCAGATAATAGGCAATCTTCTCAAGAAAAACAACAAGAAAGAATCTTGGGACACTCAGAGGACTGTAGCCTTAATAGACAACTGGTTTCAATGTTTTTTTCCCTCTGCATTGACCATCATTTTGTGGGAATGAATTTCAGACTTAACAGAACATCACATACTTGAAGCTGTTGTTCCAATTGCTTGATTTCAATAATTCCCATATCACATTTGTTTTCTAGATTGGCAAACTCGTTTTTATGTTTTTGTTTTCTGTTACGAACATCTTCTAGTCTTCCAGAGATCTGTTGGTATTTGTCATTCTGTATTAACAAACATTTTAAACATTACATCAATAACATACACAAATTTCTTGACATACAATTATTCATTACTTTTTTAGGATTTAATCCAAACTCTGGCATGTATGACTGAGACCTGGCTAAGTAAAAGTTAAGGAGAATTATTCTCTTAGAGCTCTGTCTACCAGGTTCCTCCACTGAGTAGCAGGTAAAGATTAGATGCTGGGCAGGCAGCATGATGGATATGCTATACACGAATGCAATGACCAGATGCTCCATTTAGCAATCCATTAATTCTTAATATAAGTTAGCTATTTACTGGGACAAATGCAGCGATTCTGTTGGTATACTATCCACTCTTTTGTAACAGTATTATTCTTTCTAGCAGGGTAATCTCAGAGACAATTTGGACTATCTTTACTAAGTAATTTCAAGGTCCACATGGAGGATGACTCAGTATTTTATATCACCAATGCAACCACACAATTATCCCAATTAGTATTTGGACTGCAGAGAACTGGATAATCTATTAAGATGATCTATTTTAAGCACCTAACAGATCACTATTTAGTGAATGACTTAAAACAGATTTTTCTATCACTTCTTGCAGGCAAAACTTTAAAACTCTGACCAATCTATGAAAGACAAAAATAATGTAGGTGATTTGCTTCTGGGCTAATCCCATGCTATAAAATATATTCCTTTTGGCAGTCCTCTAAGACTTCTCTCTCCGCTTCAGCCATGGTTTTTAAGGTGAACTGATAATTTTAGGTGTTTTTAACTGGATTTTAAAAACTGTTTTATATTTTGTATGTATTTTCTTATCTATTGTAACCCCTTTAGTGCTCTAGAGATGAAAAGGGGAGGATGTAAATTGAAGTAATACAAGAAATAACATCACTATGCTTCAAAGATAAATGTTACTGAAATGAATAAATAAAACGTAGTTGAAGAAGGGGGAGATACAATACCAACCAGGGTTTTCCCCTCCTATACAGCTACTATATAGTTCTATACTGTACACCTGAAAGCTTCTTCAAATCTTCTGATGCTGTCCTTTAGTTGTTTTGTCTCTATAAATGACTATTCTTAACTTCAATATGAGAAGTGAGAAAATGACACCATAGAAAAGCAAAAAAAAAATCTACAATTTATTTACAATTAAAGCAATTAGACAAAAGATATGCAGAAGCCATGGGAAAACAACTGAGTTTAGTTGTAATGCTATACTTTTGTGCAGTGTGTGACTCACCAGTGCATCTAGTTCAAGATTAAGGCTCTTTTTTTTAGAAGATAACTTCACAATTTCCTCCTGTTCTCTATTACGTTGATTAAGAAGGTCTTGACGACGAATCCTCTCCCATTCAAGCCGTCTTTGACGCTCAAGTTCTTGTTTAGCTGCCTGAAAATAAAATACCTAAACTATCAGCTTCAATGCTTATGCAACAATAGAATGATTATCAATATTTTGTATTTATTCCAATCAATGCTTAGGTTCACAAAGTGTACCCCAAGAAATTTAAACTATCATTTACTTTAATGACCACTTATTTGAATTCAGATGAAACTATCTGCTTAAATTAAAATTCAGAATAAAAGGTAAATTATAAAATAATCCGTTTCTTAGCTGTTAATAAGGAAATATTTTCTAAAGGAGTGCACTTAAAGGTCCCCAAACTCTCACAAGAATAGGTTTACTTAACTGACAAACTAAAACAAATTTTCCAAAGGTTAAATCCCAAAACAATTAGAAAGACAACCTCCCGTTTTTCAATCTCTTTTTTCCGTTCTTCCTCCCTCTGTTTCTCCATCTCTTGTTGTTTTTCCAAGCGCCTTTCCAGCTCGAGTTGTTTCTTCCGCTCCAGTTCCTTCCTCTCCCTTTCTCTTCGCTCCTTTTCTTCTCTTTCCTTCTGGGCTTTACGTTCCATCTCTCTCTGCTGCTGCTCAAGGAGCACCTGGCGCCGTTTCTCCAGCTCCAGGTTGCCTCTTTCATAGTTGGCCTTCCTCTTATCCTCAAAGGTAACTAGATTAAAGAACAGTGAATGGCGCTGAGCTATGAACACTGATCAGGCCATATTCTTCTCAATTATTTCTAAGAGATGGATTATGGTAGAACCATTCAATAACCAAAGGAAGACAAATGGAGATGCATCTAATCTTATTCAGGAGGCTTTTCAAATCTCAAGGTCTGTATGTATCCCACTGCTGCTGCAAGTGTTCTGTCTAGGTGCATCTGCCTTTATTGCTATTTCGTCTTTTTTATTGTTGAAAATGTATGGCTCTAATGAGAATGTACCTGGCCCACACAACGTGTTAATGTTTAGGGTTGTAATTCATAAAGCAGCTTCCTAATATAAAGCTAAAATAAGGTCAACCAGATACATCACAAATAGGAGATATAACTAACATAATTAAACTAATTTTCTTTTTTTCAAAAATATTACCCCCTATTTTAATGCAGAAACAGAGGATCCCAGTTACCTGGAAGTTTCTGGGGAGGTTCTTCTTCCTGTTGATATGTTGGCAGAGCACAGTTAGTATTTTCCAAAGGCTTTCCACTTCTAGGAAAAAAAGAGAACATAGTCGTTTTTTAAATTTTCAGTTTGTCAGATTTTATCTATAATTTTAATTACACATCACCTTGTGTTAAGCACCTCAAAGAAGGGGGCACAAACTCAGGAGGCAGAGTTAGAGGGAGTGGGTGCCCAGCTTTGGCCATATCAGTTAAATGCATAGCTAAGATGAACTCCTCTGCTTTCAGCTGTCCATCACCGTCAGTGTCAGACAGAGACCTAGGAAAGACAGATCTGTGTTAAAAGAACCGAGGGAACTGGGGAGAGCTACTTTGTTCTTTGCATACAACATCTCCAGGGATAGCCATGATGAAGCAGGGACCAGCTTTGAAAAATCAGATACAGAAACAGTACTTAAAGGTACTGTTAGGCAGGAAGAGATAGGAAATCTGCAA